TGAGGAGGGGGCGTGGTTGGTGGGTGGGGGGTGTTTGGGGTGTTGTGTTGGTTGGGGTAGGGGGGGGGGGGCGGGGGGGGGTTCTTCTGTGTTACCTCACTGCGCCGCTGCTGTTTGAAGGGCCTGGTGATGAGCGCCGTGTCTCCCTGGATGACTGCCACATCCTCGATCCTCCAGCTCTCCGGCAGCTCGGGGTCCGGGGGGATTTCAATGAGCTGCAGGCCGACCTTCTGCCTCAGGGCTCCCGTCAGGCAGCCGAACTGACGCTGAGCTTTGGCCAGGTCCACCGTGACCTCCCTGTTCTCGTCTCCCACCGCTTTCCCAAAAGTCTCTGGGACGCCCCGCACCACAGCGTGGGTGAACCGGCCGTAAGGGCACATATTCGCCATGACGTCTGCAAAGATGCAAATATCGCTGCTTTGCCAAAGGTAACAACGGGTTTGTGAGAGACAGACTGAAAAAAGGGACTAAAAGGAGCTGAAGATGTGATCCAGGAGGATGGAGATCATCTTCATCATCCAGTCGTCCAGGAAGAAACTAACTCTAATCTGAGACAGAAAAAGAGTCAAGGTCAGGGAATAAAACATTTCATTTTATCACTAAAGATATGAACTTATTACAGAATGACAAACCCAAGGATGGCTGAGATAATACACAGACTGTCAGACAAAGCAGCATTGTTCGGTTAGATTGACGCAGATTAATTGAAAAAGATATGCTGCAGTCTTGTTCAGATTGGGGACAATTGCTCCTTATCCATCTTTCCTGTAACTCCAAGCAGTCTCCCACTGAGATTCCTCTAACCCCCTCCACGCAGGATAACTTTATGCAACAAGTCCAACATTTCCAGCTGTTTAAATACAAACAAACACACTGAGGGACACTCATTTAGAAGTTCAGCTGAAGTTGGCACAGTTCATTTGAAGCATATCGCCATTGTTGCGTTTAAAAAACACCAGCAGGATTATTTACACATCATTTCAGCCTCCTTTTGTTCGGGTTTATTCGGCTGTAGTAAATCAAATAACCCCCTCACCCGAACATCACTTCACTCTCTTCCCAAATTACTGGGGATGATTATTTTTACATATTTTTAAAAGTAAAAATACTCGCCAAAACGTCCCCAAACACCACAAAAAACAAATTAAAGTACAAACGTGGCTCTGCTTACCTGTATGACTTCGTGTTTATGAGTTCGGTCGCGTTTTTTCCTCCGTTTCATTGAATTTCCACGCCCGCTCTGTTCCCGTTACTCGCCCTCCTTCTCCCCGTCGTTCCGTCAAGATGGCCGCTGTGGCGTGAACACACTTCCGGTTTGATTTTCAAAATAAAGACCGCGTGTAAACGAGTGCCACGTGATGAGAATTTGTTACAAGTTAATAAATAATCTCGTGCTGTTGTTGAAAATTGTAATATTTGGATATTTTAAGTAAAAATTGTGAATTTACACTCTGATAATTTCTGACTCAAATATGTATATATTTAAATCTGTTGGACTCCTGGCAAGGACCGATGCAGACATGTTCCTGTTTTTAGTTTTCTACATTCACCTTATAATCCAGCTGTTTTTGTTACTTTTTTTTACCATCTTATTTGTAAAAAAATATATATGTATATAATCATCTGTATGCCTTTTTATAACTGTCCATTGTTGTCATCCTTCTTTGTTGAAATCAGATCTCTCTTGTAAATGAGTCCTCGAGGCTCAATGGGATTTACCTGTCTAAATAAAGGTTGAATGAATGTCCCGCAAGACTAATCTGGCCCTTGCAAACGTTTTATCTGGCTTCCCCCAAAAAACATTTAAAATGTACTAGATCTGAGGCTGTCGACCCGACCCGCGTTCATTCAACCTTTATTTATACAGGCTGGTCTCATTGAGCCTCGAGGACTCATTTACAAGAGAGACCTGTTCTTTAACAAAGAATGATGACAACAGTAGACCATCATAAAATAAAATATATAAATTGAAAAAATAAATGGAAGAAAATTATATTTAAAAAAAAAACAAACGAAACAAAAACGGCTACATTGTAAAGCGAAGTAGAAAACTAAAAACAGGAACATGTCTGTTTTGGTTTTTGCCATGAACGTAGCAGATGTTTGAAGCCTCTTAGAGAGGTCAAGGTCGAGAGCTTCAAGTATTTTTGCAAGATGTTCCAGGAAACGGAAGCGGAGGAGTTGAAGGCCCTTTTTTCTAGTTCCGCACTGAGGGGGACACTGCAGGTAATAATGTCCTGAGAGCGCACGCTGTAGCTGCACTCACAGTGACATGTAGGAGATGTATGAAGGCAGCAGACCAAGACGTGATTTAAAGATGGAAATGTACCAGTGGGAGAGGCTGCATGAAGTTAATGATGTCCAGTTAACCAGTGAATACTGGGTGCAGTCCAACATCTGCAGGGTGCTTGTAGGGGCGTTCATGTAAATGCATGCCCCCTTCTGAAGGTGTGGACCTGGTCCCACAAGAAGGAGAAACTCCTCTGACTGAGCGCCATGAGTAAAAGCCTGGTCACGAAGCACTCACCGACAAGGCTCCAGTGTGAGGCACCGGTAACCTAAATCCATGGAAGGGACATTGAGCTACTTGTTGTAATCAACCCATACTAATACACCAAAGTCCATGCTCAATAATCCAGATATAAAATCCAACAATGTTCAGTCAGGTCATCTGGCCGGTTTCTTTATTTTTGTGCTGAGACATTTCTCCCTCCATCCGAAGGGCTTCAGCAGTCTGAGGAAACACCAAACAAAACTGATTCACCATCAACAGCCTACTCCAAAGTGGGAAAAAGCAATTATTTTAATGCTAAGATGGCCTCTGGGGCACGCCCTCTCCTCCACTGCCCACCCTCTCCCTCGTCAACACAATCATGTCAAGCTGATTCAAAACACCAAAGTCCATGCTCATTAGTCCAGGTATAAAATCCAACAATATTCAGTCAGGTCATATGGACAGTTTCTTTTTTTTTGTGCTGAGAAGTTTTGCCCTCCATCCAAAGGGCTTCATCATATTAATACAGTGAATCATGAAGCCCTGGAGTCCTCCTAGAAGAGCAAGAAGAAGTGGCTGTGGAAAAACCTCGCTGCTCAAGCTGCTGCCTTCAAGACCCGACTCTGGAGCAAGTGTCAGATAACGGGTGGACGGACAGATCTGGCCCATGAATCTGTTACTCACTGAGTCTCTATCACTTTTCATTTAGCTTATAAAACAGAACATAGTAAGTCCAGACCTCTAAAGAAAGAGGCCCAAACTTAGGAGCCAAACCAAACAAAACAAGTTAAAATTATTCAGGAATTTTTGATTTGTGAGATCAAACCACTGCAGCCAAGAAAAGATGTTCAGATTCTCACAGTTCTGCTTTAGCCATCAGGGTTGCCAGATAAGCAATGATGAACTACTGTTGCTTTAAAATTATAATATTTTGACCCAAACTGTCACATGTGCTGAGCGAAGGTGTTGTAAGATGAGACGTGCATTGTGTTTGGTGAACGTGCACAGAATAGAGAAAAGCAGGAGGTAAAAACATGTGATTATGTAAATCTGGCAACCCTGCTCTCCATTTACCAAATGCTGTTGGAAATGTTAGCAGTTATAGTAGTTTTGTGTCAAAGAGTATAACTAAGAAATAATAAATAAAAAGTTGTTGATAAGGCATAGGGAACGGATACTTTTGGAGTCCATCAATATAAAAATGTCAACTCCCAGTTTAATGCCGTTGAGCTTTTAGTTTGAAAAGCTTCATTCCCTAATTTCCGGTTGTCTGTGGCTCAACAGCGGCTCTCCCCCCATCCCCCACGTGCCCTGGAGGGGTCACCACTGTTTATACATTTATTTAAATAAAACTTCCATAAAACCATTTTATAAACATCAGGAAGGGCTCAAAGAAAATATAATTAAGTTTTGAGTTTATTAACCAGGAAATAAAACTGTTTTAAAAGTAGGAGGCCATTGTTGTGAATTTTAAATTACCCCTAATTTCACTAAACAAACTATTTAATTAAAGTTAAAATGTGTTAGATGATGATGACAGTTCTAATAATCTCGGTCACATTTGAGAACTAAACACTAACAAAGACAGAAACACAGAGGGCTGTAATTTACTTAAAAATGTCACAACAAAATAAGATATGATGGAAGAAAAACCAAAACAACCACAACCAGGTCCATATGAGCTACGAAGAGATGCTGAATGAGCATCAAAAAATGAATGAACAGGCAAAAAGAGATGCAAAATGATTGAAATATGAATGGAATGATCAAAACAGCCGAAACTAGGGGCAAAACAATTATAACATCCAAAAAGATTTTTAAAAAATGAAGATTTAAACAAAAAAAAAAGACATTAAGCTACACTAGATTAAAAAGAGATTTTAAATGATAACTAATAAACATAGAATGTCTCTGTTTGTTGATATTTTATGTCTGTGCTCAAGAGCCCAAAGTTTAATCTCCCATTTCTGCAAAAAAAAAAAAAGGCTTCAAAGTTTGTTATTTGATTTTTAAATGTTTAAGATTCAGATGGTAAATGTCTACTTGAGCCTACGTTTGACTCCGCCTTTTTCTGAGGATTAACTATATGGTCTGTAATCCTAAATTGTGTTTGTGACGTAGCAAAAATAATCTGTTTATCCTGAAAAGTGGGTCAGATGATGGTGAGACGGAGGACTAACTGTCAAACAACGCAGTGGGTGAATAATGTCCATACATTTTAGCTTGGTTTTCTTAATCTGACACATTTACTCTAGTAATTTTATAGATTGGGAGGAGAAATGTCTGATTTTTGCTTGCTGCACAATAATCTCGTCTGGTGAGCGGATTGAGTCACTGCAGCAGGAGGCGAAGAGCAGAACCGGAGCTGGACTCTGGAGAACAGAAGCAGACAGGAAATATGACGTGGATTAAAGAACCATCTGTCCGCTGAGGTCCTGCAGGCTGCAAACAAAACAAAGCCAGCAAACAATAATCTGCCTCAGATTAAACCTACAGTTAATCTAAACATCTTTGGTCAACCTTCTAATTTAAAGACCTGAAAATAAGAATAAAAAATATTTTTCAAAGATTTATCTGAAGGAATAACTTTTTTTTTTATGCTAGAAAAACATTTCTTAAACTAAAAACTTGCAATTTCAGCTAAACTATAGAAATTATAATATCTGCAAAGTGCAGCTAAAAGAAGCAGATCATCTGCTAAAAGCTAAATGTGGCTGAAGACTAAACGCTAAAAGAATGAAAAGACTAGCTAATAGTAAAATGTAGTAAACTGCTAAGTAAAAGTGCACAAAAGGCTAGGTTAAGTAGCTGAATAATAGCTAAGAGCTAAAGATAACCAAAGCCTAGATAAACATAGCAGAATGGTAGCTAAATGCTAAAAGTACCAAAAGTATAGCTAATTGTTAAAAGTAGTAGAATGGTAGCTAAAAGCTAATAGTAGCAAAAGACTTGCTAATTGCTAAAAGTAGAATAGTAGCTAAAAATGTAACAATAGTAGCTAAAAGCTTAAGTATTTAAAAAGCTAGCTAAAAGTTGCAGAACTACAGGTAGAAGTGGCAAAATGCTAGCTAAAAGCTAAAACCATCAATACAGTAGCTAAAAGTTAAAAGTAACAAAAATCTAGCTTGAAGCTAATTTCACACAATGGTAACTAAATGTAAAAAAGTAAAAGCCTAGATAAGTAGCAGAATAGTAGCTGAATGCTAAAAGTGGCAGAAGCCTAGCTAATAGATAAAATAGCACATCAGCGGTTACAATCAAAGATTAGCAAAAGCCTAGCTAAATGTAGCAGAATGGTAGCTAAAAGCTACAAACGACTATATGAAATTAACCGAATGGTAGCTAATGTAGCAAAATATTAGCTAAAATATTAAGTAGAACAGTAGCAAAAAATCTAAAAGTAGCAAAAGTCTAGCTAGAAGTTAAAAATAATAAAACAGTAGCCAAATGCTAAAATCAGTAGAACAGCAGCCTAAAGGTTGTAGCATAAGAAGAGCAGATTTCAAAGGGAAGAATGTTTTGAGCAATCTAAATATGTTTATGCAGAATTTTTTTGTAAATAAAGTTAAATGTCTTGAAAAGTAAACCAGTTACAAAAACCAAAGGTCAAAGCATCCATCAGCTGAATGAGCCGAACCTTGTATATATGAACAGCTAAAATGAAATGGTAACAGAAGCTCACGATGACAGACTTCTAACTTCACAGTCAGTAAAACCTTCACGCTCCACCTTGTTCATTTACAACAGATCAGCACCAGACTCCATTCAAAAACCTGCTGCTTTAACACAAACACAATGACTAATCACAAACTCTGAACCGACCCAAACATATTTACAGCTAAAAGCTCATCTTTGCTGGAGTTAAATCACAAAAAACATTAAACGGAGTCCATTAACAGGTACAAGGAATGGTTTTAAAGCTCGTAGCTGGGCAATTAATGGACTGTAAACAGCTTACTGAGTTTGAGGCGTCACATGACTGCTGTCAGCAGACTGTCCTGCCTGCTGTCCTCATGTCTCCCATTAAACCCTGGAGGATAATTCAGTTAGACCGTCTCACTGAGTCTCTGTGTCCAACATGCTGACTGGTTCTGTCTCTGACTCTGTGCTGACTCGCTCTGAGCACAGCTGACCTTATAATTAGTCCTGAGCCCGACACGCTTCACCCTGTTTCTCTCTACAACAACAATAAGTGCTGAAATAATTATAACTTTTTAAAATCTGGCTCAATCAAGGCTCCGTGTTTCTAACTTTGCTGTTATTTGTGTAGTAAGCTGAACAAATTATTCTAAAACAGTCAAACTTTGTGATGTTTTCACATTCAAACAAGTGTAATTCTGCTTTGTCTTTCTTTTTAATTTACAAGAATGTATTTGTGGTCCTAAGTTTCATCATCGTTCCTTTACTTTATGTTTTGTTTCTTCAGAACAGAAAGTTCAGAATTGTTTGTTGATTTTGTTGATTTTAATCCCCCAAAGCTAAAACAACATATAAGTCTCCAATCAAACAAAAATCTTTTATTTTAAGATGGACAACCCGTTGTCTTTTTACAATAAGCCATTATTACTGTAGGTTAAATAACAGTGGGCCCAATACTTTCCCACAATGCATTGCAAGTTTACAGAAAACCAACAACTCACAGTAAATTGCTTTCACAGGGAGAATTAAGAATATCATTTAGTCTAAAAATGTACAGAATGATTTACAAACTGCACAACTTTTTTAATTTTTTTATTTGCACAAACGTGATGTTTCACACGAAACATAAAAATCTGTTGAAATCATTTTCAACACTATGGGACACAGGAGTCCAGCATTTATATCTCCCTTTCCATCTTCTACCACTTATCATGGAAATAGTTCCAGGAGAAAAACCCAGACCTCCCTCTCCAACTCCTCCTGGAGGACCCCGAGGTGTTCCCAGGCTAAAAAATGATAAATAATCCCAGTAACAAGTTCTGGGATTTTCTGACCTGGGGCCTCCCAGAAAATCTCCAAAGGGAAGCGTCCAGAAGACATCCTGAGATGAACCACCTCACCTGACTCTGTTTGATGTGGAGGAGCAGCGGCTCTACTCATAGTTCCCTCTAGATGACGGAGCACCTCACCCTCTCTAAAGGCTGAGTCTGGACAGTGGACACCCCGTGAAGGAAGCTCACTTTGGCCGCTTGTAATCCAGGATCTCTTTCGGTCGGTCAACAAACCTCATGACCACAGGTGAGGGTTGGAACGTAGACAGACCAGTAAATCGAGAGCTTTGCCTTTCGACTCAACCCTTTCTTCACCTCGACTGACCGAAGCAACGCCCTCATTACTGAGAACAAGGCCTCGATCTGTCAGTCCACCTCCAGCTCCATCCTATCATCACTCATGAACAAGACGTCCAGACCTCAGAGTTAAGAGGAACTGACTCTCATTCCAGCCGCCTCGCCCCTCGGCTGCGAACCGCTCCGGTGCACGCTGAAGTTCTTGGGCTCAAGACGCCAACAGAACCACATCATCTGCATATAACAGAAACGAGACTGACTGGACCTTGAGATCCCGTCCATGAAGACCACAACCAGGATCGGAGACAAGAGACAGCCCTGGAGGAGCCAAACCTGCAGAACGAGCTCAGCTTTATACACGGATAATTTAATCCCAACTAAATTTGAAGGTTTTTTAATGTATAAATGAAATAACTCACTTTACATGAAACTGTTCCATATCATTTTACACACATTCAGTTTAAACATGAGAGTCTTAAAGTACTTTCATTTTGTAAAATGTATAATTAGAAGAGAAATGTGACAGTCTGATTCTTGTAATTATTTTTTTTTAACGTTCATCTTCATGTCGTTAAACCTCCAAATTCTCAGAAATGCTTCTGATTTTAAAGTCCTGACAGGAAGTATTTTTCTGCCGATGTATAAACACGTCCTTCCACTTTTAGTTTAACCAGATTAGACACTTCTTTCTTTGCCTCTTTCGTTCCTCTTTGGCATATTTTTATTATTCAATCATCGAATGTACGAGCAAAAAGGCTGTTGAGGCCCGCAGAGCTTCATATAAGCATGAAAACATGTTAATTTGTTATATCAGCTGTTCACAATTACCTCTGCAAATTCAATTGTAAGTCCCAGGAAGTAGACTGTGCCTGCCTGAGAATCACAGCAACACAAAGAGGTGATCACAGCGGCTGATGGTCCAAGTTGCACCGAAATAGACATTTGTTTTTATTTTTATCAGATTAATAAAATATGAAAATACGTCAGCAACAGACAGAGATTTAAATAGGTAATGACTTGTAGGACGCTTCAGATTAAGCAGTTTCAACGTCTTGGGAAACACTTTTCCTCTCGAATCGTTTTTTTAAGGACGTTTTGAAGGATGCCTCGTTTAGCTCTTCTTATCGGACTCCTGGCTTGTCTTCCATTAGCAGGTAGGATATTTACCTTCATGAGTGAAACTACACTCGAACTGTTTCCTCTACAAGGACATATAAACTTGTAGCTTTAAAGTGGACACTGTTTTAATGTTGAAACAAATCAAGAAAGTTGGTTCAGAGAAGATTTAAGCTAAGTTTATAAATCGTCTCTTTTGTTGCTGTAAATTTAAGAATATATTTCTGTTTGTTCATCTGCTTTAGTGTGATTTAACAGGAGTATATATTGCGTTTTAGTAATGTCTACAGTGTGTCTTCCCCAGTTAACAGATTCTGAGGTAACCAAAAGAACCATTAAACATCATACTGGTCATTTCTGTGTTCGCGCAAGAGGACAAATTAAACCACGTCGACTCTGAAAGTTAATTAGTCGCAGATGAACATCCATGCGTTATTTTATGACTTTATTTTAAATTTGTCAATCTGTTCATGAGATGTTTTGCTAACAGACAGGGTTGATCTATTAGAACTCATATATGTGGTAGAGCTCAGTCTCATCTACCATAAATAACTTCAGCTCAATTTCTGAACAAATCAAGCAAAAAAGAACCATTTGATTGTATTTAACACCAGTTAGCTGCGGCGACCATCTTGAATTGGGTTGACTCTAAAAACTAACCTGTTGTAGATTTACATCCATTGTTTATTTTTTAAGAGTTTTGTTAAAATTCGTCCGTCTGTGAGATATTCTGGTAACCAACAGACACAGGCAACTACATGATCGCCCTCCTTTCGTGGCAGACAATGATTAAGACAGTCTGACGGGCGAACTGATTGAACTGAATGAATCCCTTTAAAATCACGTTTTTCTTGAAAATAGATCAATTTCAAAATAATCCTACACACAATTTCAAATTTTAGGTGGAAAACCAAAGAGCAGCTGTTTTCAAGAATGTCAATATTGTGTTTATTTTAATGTATAACTAAGGTTTTACAGATTTTTTTGTTCGTTTTTGTTGTTAATGACAATTATTCTAAAGAAAAACAGCGGAAACAAATCGACATTTCCATCTTACCTGGGCACCAGTGACAGAAGATATATGTGAAACTATATATATATGTAGCAATCTCACGTGACTGTAACATCAGGAAGAAGAAGCATGGAAAGCATGAGAATGTGTAAAAACAATTGATGGATGGATGGATGGATGGATGGATGGATGGATGGATGGATGGAGGTGTCCTTCTTTAAATGTGTAGTTTTCTTTTTGTCCACCAGGGGGCACTAAGAAGTAAACGTTTTGACGGTATATGCTTACTTAAAAATCTCTGTTTATAAGATTATTTTTTTAATAAATCGGATATTGTTGATATAAAATGTTACAATATGAATTTTTTTTACTGCCTGCAGGGACATTTCACAACCATGAAGCTATAATTATCCACATCAAGTGTCTTGAGATGAAGCTACATGTTTATAATTACAATACATTTGATTAATTGTTGAATTAAAACCATTTTCCAGCCTGTTTGAGGTGCTACACGTGTGTGTTTCCGGCCATTTCTCCCATGGACTGTTTGAAGTTTCCTCTGGAGTGTCCTGCTGGGCAGCGCTGCCTCTCCAGTGAGGCAACAGGAAGACGAGGTCAGCTCCAGATGTGTGTGTGTGTGTGTGTGTGTGTTAGCGTACTGTATTAAAGCTATAATTGGTAAAATAATAACCCCATAGTCCAGGAAATTAACTAAAAATGACCCACAGAGATTTGAGGGTGAGGGGACGTGTCATGATTAGGTCCCTCTAAACCCTCACAGTTTATAAACTGAGGAGTAGAAGAGCAACATGCAACAAAGAGACATGACCGTCACCGAATGGAACAAAATTAATCTGTTTGTAGGGCGGTAAATACAGGTGGTGTTCATCGTCTTTGTCAAAACTGCACAATATGTGAAACTATATATATATGTAGCAATCTCAAGTGACTGTAACATCAGGAAGAAGGAGCACGGAAAGCATGAGAAATACCAAGAGCTGAGAGGAAATGGAGTCAAAGAGTCCGTGGTCCCAGTGGTCACTGGAGCACATGGTGCTGTGACCCATAAACTGGAAGAGTGGCTCCAACAGATCCCAGGAACAAGCTCAGAGATCTCTGTCCAGAACTCTGCAGTCCTAGGAACAAATAAGACACTGTGCAGAACCCTCGAACTCCCAGCTAGGGGACCCGAGTTTGAAGTGAAGTGGAACCGCTCAGGTGGAAGAGAAGGGCGAGCTAATGTATGTGTGTGTATGTGACGATATTTTGTATTTTATTGCTTTTTAACTTATTTATAGTTTTTTTTTTCTATTTACTTTTTTAGCTGCTCTTTATGACATCTATTATTTCAACAACCAATGACTGCGCTCATTGGTTTCATTTGTTTCTTGCTCAGTTTTTATTAATTAGTTAGGCGCCACCTTAAAAGTTAAGACTGAGACAGTTTGGACACGTCCAGAGGAGGGACAGTGGGTATACTGGTAGAAGGATGTTAGAAATGCAGCTGCCAGGAAAAAGACAAAGAGGAGATATATGGATGTAGTTAGAGAGGACATGGAGGTAGTTGGAGTGAAGACAGAGTGAGAGGAGGAGGATGACTCGCTGTGGTGACCCCTGAAGAGGGAACAGCCGAAAGAAGAAGACTGGGCTATGTGCCAGGGTGGGGGTGTTCGTATGTTAATGGTTGATTGTTACGAAAAACACTAAACTTGTGTAACAAGTATTGAGTGAAAGAACATCTGTTATTCCTTATGTGGCAAATATAATATACAGTGGTACAAAAACATTATTGATACTTTCCAGTTCCTTCGGCCTTTCTTTAAGCACTTCAGCAGCAGCTTCTGTTTTAAATGTGCTCTATAAATAAATTTGACTTGACTTCCTGTAACCACCCCCTGATCTCACAGGTGTCATCCAGATGACAATATATGAGAAAAGCTGTGCCGTTCCCACCCAGTGTGGCCTGAGCGGACAGAAATATGCCTCCGGCATCAACTTCAACTACACCAACAACTGCTGCGACACTGACCTTTGTAACGGAGCCGGATCCATCGGTGCCCTCAGCTGGGGGGGAGCGGTGCTCGGCCTGCTGCCTGTGTTCACCCTCCTCACTGCCTGAGACAAGGAAACGGCACGATAAACACCACCGGGAGACAAACATCCAGCTACCATTGCAATATCAATATACCAGAAGTGCCAATTGTGTGATAAGTTGTGAAGGGTGATGTCAATAAATCGAATTAAATCCTATTAAAACCTTTGTTTTACACCCTATGTGTTATTAAACACTGACAGCATGTCAACCGTTGTCAGGGGAACTTTTGTCACAATGCTGTTAATCACATTCTGAACACGTAACGCACTGTCTGCATTACACGTCTGTATAACTGATCAGTTAATGCATCATCAATGTTCCCATTAGTTATTGCTTCACTTTTCAAGCAAAAAAACATGGGATTGTACCGCTTAGCTTCCTTTAGCAGCTACATGTGCTGCAAACTTACATTGCAAGAAATGTGATTTGGTTTTTCACAAGTTGATACACCTAACAAAGATTTTTTTTTTAATTCTCACTGACAATATAATAATAATAAAATATCTCATAAAGGATTGTCTTAAACTCTGAAACGTGAAAAAATATTGGGTTCTTCTTAAGGATTATGTAAATTTAATATTTGAGAACCTTTAGTACTCAGAACTAATATTGTTGTTATTTTTTTTTTGTTCTTATTTCTTACCTGTGTGAAGTTGCGTTGATTTTATGTGTGTACTTGTTTTCTGCATCTGCATGCCCAGCGTTTAAAACGGTTTGGTAATGTTCGTTTGCCTGCCAAAAACATTTGTACACATTAAATGATCAATAAAAAATAATCCCTGTCAAACCCAAATAAACATGACATCTAAAAGATGGCAGATTATAAAACACTATATTCACTTTCCTCAACAAAGTCGTAGAACTTGTTTTTCATAAACTCGAAAATTTGAAACTACTTCAGAAGAGACATCACTCAATAAAACGAGTTGGTTTTATTTTGTTTTTAAAACCCTAAATTCAATAGCACCAAAATTTTTATCTTTAATTAATCCATAATTTTGGCCAAATTCTGTCCTAACAAAAAATATTGAAAAATTACCATCAAACTTTACATCCGTTAATTTACAGGCTTATTTGGGCTTTTATTTTTTTTAAATAAAAAAACAATTACAAACCGGATTCCAAAAAAGTTGGGACACTAAACAAATTGTGAATAAAAACTGAATGCAATGATGTGGAGGTGCCAACATCTAATATTTTATTCAGAATAGAACACAAATCACAGATCAAAAGTTTAAACTGAGAGAATGTATCATTTTAAGGGAAAAATCTGTTGTTTCCAAATTTCATGGCGTCAACAAATCCCAAAAAAGTTGGGACAAGTCCATTTTTACCACTGTGTGACATCCCCCCTTCTTCTTGCAACACTCAACAGACGTCTGGGGACAGAGGAGACCAGTTTCTCAAGTTTAGAAATAGGAATGCTCTCCCATTCATGTCTAATACAGGCCTCTAACTGTTCAATCGTCTTGGACCTTCTTTGTCGCACCTTCCTCTTTATGATGCGCCAAATGTTCTCTATAGGTGAAAGATCTGGACTGCAGGCTGGCCATTTCAGTACCCGGATCCTTCTCCTACGTAGCCATGATGTTGTGATTGCTGCAGAATGTGGTCTGGCATTATCGTGTTGAAAAATGCAGGGTCTTCCCTGAAAGAGATGACGTCTAGATGGGAGCATTTGTTGTTCTAGAACTTGAACATAGTTCTCTGCATTAATGGTGCCTTTCCAGACATGCAAGCTGCCCATGCCACAAGCGCTCATGCAACCCCATACCATCAGTGATGCAGGCTTCTGAACGGAGCGTTGATAACAACTTGGGCTATCCTTGTCCTCTCTGGTCCGGATGACATGGCGTCCCAGTGTTCCATAAAGAACTTCAAATCGTGACTCATCTGAACAAAGAACAGCCTTCCATTTTGCCACACTCCATTTTAAATGACCCCTGGCCCAGTGCAAACGTCTGAGCTCGTGGAGCTTGCTTAGAAATGGCTTCCTCTTTGCACTGTAGAGTTTCAGCTGGCAACGGC